TCTTAAAAATTTTGCATAATCTTTTAATCTAACCAAGTAAATTTAATTGCCATTATTTATGTTTTTCTTCCATGTAAATTATACTCCGAGATAATCCATCCATTTAAATTACTACTCGGGTATAATCAAAATTCAACGTTAGTTCTAATCAATTTACAATTCACTAATCCCGCTTATTTTATCAAATATTTCTCATGTTTATTTATTTTATATTTTTGTATTCTTGATTTCTGATTATTTATGTTTTTCATTTATGTAAATTGTACTCTGAGATAATCTAATCCTCCTGAATTATTACTCAGATATAATCAAAATCTAATCCAATATTCCTATAATCCTCAATTGATCAAAGATATGACTCAACTAATTAAGAAATCAAAAATAATCCTAATCCTCAACTGATCAAAGATATGACATGATTCACTCAATAATTTTTAGAAAATCAAAAACCTGTATTAACTGACTACTATATAAATCGCGAATTCAATGTCATTTCATAACCATTCCTCGACACTTGAAAAAGGATAATATTTCGAAAACCGGTTCGTGTCAATTGCGTAAGTTTTTGTTTTACTTGTTATAATTTTTCACATCATTGTTAGCGTTATTTATCACCTAAATATATATTTTTTTGCATTTTTCATCTTGCTTTATATATCCCCAAACCCAGTTTGACTTATTTGCATAATTTGATCCCAACATTTTCACGCTAGCATATACAGTTTCCTCCTGTTACATCCGCTGTACATTCCCTTCTAACCCCAAGTTATTTTCATTATTTTCCCCAACTACAACAACCACTGGCAAGAAGCCAGAAATAGAAACACTAATCGTCAACCAAACCAATATCACGTACCCTACAACGGCCCTGTCTTCCACCGACCTCTACCACCTACCAATCGCCGACCACCAACCAACCCATCCAGCTATATCCCACCCCATCGCCGACCTACCTACAACACAGCCTACCAATCAAGAGGTAACCATCGACCTGACCAACAACAGAAACGACTACCAGCCCACCGACGCCAACCAGTCCCCACTCATAAGGAGGAAGAACCCTTTGTGAAGGTGTTCTTCCAAGTTTTGCAGTGCCTCCATCATTTGGCAATCCTTACCCTTCAACAGCAAGGCCAACCAGCGTTTACCTTCAAACGCAAAGTCTCTGAGTTGGATAGTTTTATCCGTCCAGCAATGAAAACATCAGCTGTCGACGCGAATATTAGATCCCTCAATCGGACATGGCTCTGTAAGGTTACGCAGGTCCTGATCGACCATTACCAAACCACACTTCAAGAGAAGCTGACCACCATTCGTACCAAGTCTTTGTCATCACCTGCCGTCGACCGCATCGTTTCTCATGCCCTGTCCTGGGCCCGTCGCTCCTATGGGAAACGTCTCACTCAAGCTGTAATTTCCAAATTCTACCAAACAATCAACGAAACAAAAACCAGAGTAACCATATCTCTACCAACTGAAATGGACACTACACCTGCACCATCTAGAGCTACCACGCTGCCGAACCAAACCCCTAAACGAGCCCGAAGTTCACCTACCCCTAGTCCAGCAGACATAGGTAAACGCTCTCGTAGAGAGGGCACACCCCTTCTCTTTTCACTTTCAGACTCGTCTTCCCCTTCCACACCATCTGAATCTTCACCACGTGATCCAGGATCCGCAAACCTTTCTTCCTTCTGTGCGTTTTTGGACCAGCAAACCACCCCTCAGTCTCCATCCAAGTCGAGACATGTATCCAGACCTTCCCCTTCTCGAACCAGATCCCAGTCCGTTCCCAATGCTACAATTCTAACAACTACCAAACCAGTACCAATCACACCGTCGACGACCATTATATCCGCTACCAAACCGTATTATCACCAAACCAAGGACAAATCATTATGGAAACTACCTGCTCTAAAGAAATCAACCTTAATAATTGGATCATCTAACCTGAATCGAATTACCAAAACCAGTTCAGACACCGAAATACATTCTTACCCCGGTGCCCAAATCCATCACATACAGTCAATCCTGGAATCATACGACCACGATCCCAAACCTACTACCATTATTCTTCATGTAGGCCTCAACAACCGTGATCAGATACCAAAGACCTCCTTTAACCAAGCCCAGAAATTAATCGCCACAGCCAACAAAACCTTCACAAACTCCAAGATCCTCTTCACATGTATACCCATTTCAAATAAAGTCTCGAAGAAAGCACAACAGAACCTCAGCACCCTCAACAACATGATGATGGAGTCCAGTATCAACAGCGCAACAATCTTACCACCCTACGAAGAAGAATTCGAAACAGTTGATAATCTTCATTGGTCTCCAGAAACAGCAAACAGCATTTATTTGTTTTGGATACACCAGCTTCAAGCATCGAGTAAGTCTTTAAACTAATTACTGGGGATAAAAATACTGAGAGGCCACCGCTAGGCCAAACTGTAGTTAACTTGAGCCGCAAAATTCTCACACCCCTTCAGCATTCAATCTTAGACCGCGGACTTAAGTTTATTCCCACACCAAAGATAGCTAACTTGAATTATCTCCGACCATCCATTGAACGATTTCAACGAAATCTTAGCTGCACATATTTTTTTCGAAACCACCCCCCACGTGGTGCTAGAACAATGTTTATTCCTAAATCCACGTGGACACCCCCTCAGGCCGCCATCCATCCTGAAATATTGAAAGCATTTGCTAGTGTGAATAGCCAAACAGTGAACCTTTCCATAACACACGAAAAGCCGAATCTCACACGAGTGGAACGTGAAGCGTTAAACTTACTTAAGAAAGACGATAGCATTGTTATTAAAAAGAGTGACAAAGGTTCATGTTGTGTCATTCTGAATAGGGAGGATTACGTTTCAGAAGCAGAGAATCAACTGAATAATCCTAAACATTATGCCATTTTACCGAAACCAATTTTCAAAGAAACTGCTAGCATGATTAATAATATTCTTGCCGATTTAGTCAAAACTAGTTATCTCAAACAGAAACAATATGACTATCTGTCTGCCAAACCTGATTGTCGCGAGAGACATTTGTACACTTTGCCTAAAATCCATAAGAATCCAACCAAGGAGTGGTTTATCTCGAATAAAATCCCTAAAGGCCGCCCGATTATATCTGACTGTGGTA